TTGAGGATCCTGATAATTCTTTGTAACTCTCTCTCATGGACTAGAACATGAATATGGAATAGTCTGTCTCAGACTCACCATGACATCTGCAGTGCTGTTGTGATTTCATCCTTGGGCTCTTGGTTCGGCTTAGAATATAGTAGGGAAGTAGGGACTGTTCAAACAGTGGTGACTCTGAAGGGCAACTCCAAAACTTAATTCAAGACACTTAACAGCTAGTAGAAGCACTTTCCATAGGGCTTGGGAACACTCTTAGAAGAAAGATTTCTAAGTATCTTGCAAGTCCCCTCACAAACATATTTCCAGCCCACCTGACTTAAAGAAACCAAGGCTTTGTCACTTTACTAGCCACAACGTGATTGGGGAAATACTCCAAAATGGTAAGCAGCTTGCTTGCGTGCATCTTGTGAGGCCAGCTCAAACTTAGCAGCAGCTCAAGATCAGACCAGATGCACCTGGAAAGGCTGTCATGTGGGAGGAGAGGGGATACGGGTTCCCAGTCTTGGAAGTTGGAGGATAGCTGGGGCCTTCAGAGTGCACGCGAGTGGTAGGGAGCTCCTAGGTTCATCCAGTGCAGAACAGGAGGAGGGACTGGAGATGTGCGGTCCCTTTCCTTTTTTTTAGCCACAACGTGATTGGGGAAATACTCCAAAATGGTAAGCAGCTTGCTTGCGTGCATCTTGTGAGGCCAGCTCAAACTTAGCAGCAGCTCAAGATCAGACCAGATGCACCTGGAAAGGCTGTCATGTGGGAGGAGAGGGGATACGGGTTCCCAGTCTTGGAAGTTGGAGGATAGCTGGGGCCTTCAGAGTGCACGCGAGTGGTAGGGAGCTCCTAGGTTCATCCAGTGCAGAACAGGAGGAGGGACTGGAGATGTGCGGTCCCTTTAAGACCCCAACGCTCGCCTAGCCAAAGGAGGGGGGTGCTGAGGGGGAGCTGCGTGATGGGAAAGTCGCCGGCTGAGCCTCACACTTTCTCCTGATTTTTTAACTTTCGAGTCGGGGGAACAGGAATAAAGGCTCTGTGCTAGGGCGCAGAGGGGAGCGTGCTTGCAGCGGCGGCGTGCTGTCCGGC